TCACAGTCGAATGAGATGAGAATAATCGACTATGGTTGGTCAATTCGTACATAGGCTCTGTGGCTAGTATTATAGTTGGTTCTTGTATTTGAGACCATCTTAAGTACATGAGTACAGCCTTAAGATGTCATGAACCAATCAAAAAGCTGTATTACATCTTAAGTCATTATTTGAGACGGTCTTGAAATAAGGACTACGTTCCACTTGATGCTACAAATGCTTCGAAGCATTTTTTGATTGGTCAATTAGTAAAATTCTTTCTTCCGATTGGTTAATCAAACTACTGACGAGATACTATTAAAAACCAACCCTGGACAAATTTTCGGAATAAAAAGGACGCCAAGAGCCCGGAGGTAATTGAAGAACGTTGACATTATCGACAATTGATATAATTTGCTATTATTAATATAAATATTTGGCTAATACATTATTTAATGCAAGATTTTTTATTACATAAATGCTCCATAAATAAATATGCATACTTGTAAAGCTGTAATATGTTATATTGCCGAAAAATTATAATTTTTTCTTTGCAGTTATCATCTCTGTTGATAATCAAACTTTGACAATGACACTGAAATCACAATTTTAAAGAAAAATCGAGTATTATTGAGTTTTAAATGCATATACACTGATAAACATGTCTACTAAACTAATATAAATCATAAAATTAGTACAATATTATCAGTACTCTTATTCTTTACTCTTATATCACTTTAATATTAACAAAGACGCGAACTTCCGGATGTCGGTCTTTAATAGTATCTCATCGATGATCGAACGCATTTGTAGCGCCAAGTGGACCGCACCCAAGAATGGACTATGAATACTGACCAAGTGGCCAATAATCGGTTCTTATATTTAAGACTGGCTGGTGATTGGCTTATAATATCTTAAGATTGTACTTAAGACAGTTTACAAGTATAAAGGTGTTTTTTTATATTAACGTTCGACGCTAATTTTTAACAGCAAAATAGGTCATGTGATCAAAATTGACGCTTGATATTCGCCAATTTTTATTATGTGATCTATCTTGACGCTAAAAGTGAGCGTCGAGCATGAAAAGGCACCTTAAGAATCAATTGTATGAATAACGACCTAAGAGAGAGACAGAACAACTGTTAAGATTTATTCTTCTCGTTTAGCATTGCTTTTTCTAATGAGCATTGTTGCCGTGATCAATTTCACATATCAGCTTGTTTGATCAATTCATTATCTATTTAAATGACTTACTACTTGCCAGGGCCTCTATTCTTGAAAAGAAACGTATACGAAGTTTTAGAAAAATACTGTAATATACATAACGTATACTGTAGTATTTCTCTAAACTTTCGTATACGTTTCTTCTCAAGAATAGGAGCCTTGACGCAAAATGATCAATGAACGACTGCGTTCAGAAAATTCAGTGACTGTGCCATTTTGCTCTCATTTCGTAATTTAAAATGACTGTAGCGACGGAGCTAATAAAAATATATATATTTTAAAAAAATAAATATTGGCTCGTATTCAGGATGCGCTTTTATCTCTAAAATTCTATAGTATGCGTAATGTAAATTATAGCATATTAGCGTGCTAATATTGTTGTAAGCGCGTTCTGAATACGGGTCATTGTAATTAAAGATTTAATTTTTTTGTTTGCAATAAATGTGTTTTTGTTTGCTAATTAAATGTTTTCGTTTAATTAGCTAAAAAGCGTAATTATCAGAAGCTAACATATTGACAGATCATTTAAATTTGATCATGATTATTAAAATTTTTTATATTGTTTTTGCATTCGTCTCCTTTATTTCTCTCCACCTATAAGTTTTACATATAATAGTATACACAAATTTAAAGTAAATTCGTTCGTATAAAATTTATTCCTTTTTAATAAAAATATAAGAAATAATTTAACTCGGTAAATAACATAATAATTTTTACTCGGTAAAAAATTTTTCATGCATGAATATGTATAAACATATACATAAATATTTATATAAACATGTATAATCATATATAAAATATGTCCATACATGTTCATACATCCCTCTTTCTTTTGTAGAAATAATTTTACAAAAGAAAAAGGGATGTTTGAACATGTATATAATATGGACATATTTGAATATTTCATATATGATATGTATGTTTATGTATGTTTATATATATATATATATATGTGTATATTCATACATATTCATGCATGAAAAATTTTTTACCGGGAATAATTTTACGAATATAAAAAATATTGCATATAATATTGTAGTATTAACATACTTTATACGCAAAATAAATATTATATAATGTTTATGTGAAAAAAAATCTCCAATTTATTTCGAAGACTCTTCATTGTTTACATATTTAATTAGTCATATAACATATATCGATTATTAATGCATTTATGAAAGTAGCTTACATATTTATATACTGTATAATAAAAAATTAACAAATAACATGTAAATGTAAATTATTAGACAAGATTATGTAAAATTTATAAAATCAAATGTAATAATTAAAGAAAAAATATTTTAAAATTATATGGAAAAAGAATATTTGAAATAAATCTATTAGAGGTTACTAATAAATTGTATTATTTAATGCAAACACACAAATGTTTTCCTCACATATAATTAATTGTCTAAACGCTATAATTTCTGTTTATAAACTATTTTCAAATAACGAAATGTAAGCTATATAGATTGTATTTTTTATCTAACAATACATATAAGAAGCTTTAGTGTTACATTGGAAAAAATTCATTTTTTTCCTATAACTAATTCTTGCAAAAAAGCAAATAATCAGTCTGACATAAAAATAGTTTAGATAGCCTTAAAAACAAAAAATATTATCTATATAAAAAGCATATATTATTAAAACGTCGTTTCACTTTCACATCGCAATATGTAAAATAACTCAAGACTTTAATTAAAATAAATTCTCGGAAAAAATTAAAATCATTTCTGAAATTAAAATTTTTCTGTAACGAAAAATAAACAGAAAGCATTAATATTTCAAAGATACTAATTAAAACTTAATAATTAAAAATATTCTCATTAAAAAAAATGTTTGATCTTGTATCAGGGACATTTTTACGGAAACAATAATTTCACGGAATAAATAGGTAAAGATCACACTACTTGATTAATTTCAAACGGTCTTTTTTTTTTTAATTTTAGAACTCGCGAAGATATTTTAATCAATATTTAAAAAATTAGAATGTTTAACTTTTACTTAGGAAGAAGTATATTTCAAAGAATTAAGGAAATTAAAATCAAAATGGGTTTAGCTTGTCTACTGCCACTCTTACGATCTCCAAGAGAGTTCTTATGAGGCATATCATTCTTACTCCTCATTCATTTGCTCAAACATTTTTTCTCAAAGTGATTTGGTTTGTTACATCGAGAGCATGTATGTCCTTGTGCAGGGCACATAGATATAGCGTGATCTTTGCCACATCTAAGGCAATTTTTTACGACAGGAACTTTACACAACCATGAGAAATGGTTCGCCTTACCACACTTTACGCACGTTTGGCCGAAAGCGTGACAACGTGACTGAACATGACTCACTCCACATTTAGTGCAGTTAGACACGTATTTGCCTTTACACTTATCCTTAAAGTGATTGAATCCTTTACAATTGTCACATTGCAATCCATAAGCTGGACAACGATTTCTACTATGACAAGTACCACAGCGAGCGCAGTCTATTTCAATAAGCTTCAGATCAGAAGAAATTTGCGTTTGTGTATCTTCGTGATTCCCTTGTGACATTAATTTTTCGCATTGTTTCCAAAACAGTGTAATTTTATCAAGATCCAACGATTGTAAATACGATACTAGACCTTCTCCCTTTGATTGTATAAAAATCATTGCTTGTCCTGTGAAATTATAATTTTTAATATCTTTTATAATTTTCTCCTTCACGATGCTCATAGGATCATGATGATTGCTTGCTAAAGCAGTAAACTGTAAAAGAAAAACGTATTTGTAATTTATATATTAACATGAATTAAAAAAAGGATAAAAAGGATAATTTTTTTACATTTTTAATATATACATAAGCAAATAATTATCATTTCTTTTATAAATTCTTTTGTCAATGTAACTAATATATCTTTATTATCCTTTTATAAAGATATATAATTTATGGATTATATGAAGTGATTGGAAAATGAAGTTTTAACTAAGTAAATTTAAGATATAAAGAGAAGTTAAATTAAAACGAAAAAAATTATTTTTAATTTAGTATACTTTTAGTATATTTAGTATATTTTTACAGCCGTTTTATAATTAATTAAAAAATATATACGTAAAAATAGAACTAATTCTGTACTTGTTGTGTTGTGATTTTAACATGTTATAATCGCATTTTAATAATATGCATTGTAAAAAGTGTGTGATTTCAATTTACAATGTTATAATACTATTGAAGTTTCAATTTACCATCAAGCAGTCAATATATTGGTTGATACTTTCGTTTTCCTGCTTTTTTTTAAATCCAAAAATGAAGAATACATCTAGTTTAAGTAAAACTGTTCTCAAATCTTTTGTTTCACGAGCATTTTGAGAAAGACTTTTATATGCTTCTTCTCCATGCGGTCCAATTAACATTAACAATATAACTGTCCATTGATTCTTATATATTTCTTTAGCATCTTCTTTCTGCAAAAAAGATAAAAAATTCTGTTTCCACGCACACCAACTCCTACCGACGTTACGTCCTGTGACATTTAATGGTGGAAAGTTTTGCATTTTGTTAAATATCTCCAACGTTTGAATTCCATTGTCTGCTATAAAAATAATAATGTATAATTTATATGGATCATCACATTGAAGGAATATTGCGTTACTTACCCATATTTATTTTTATAAATGTTCTTTTATGTTTTCTTATTTTTTCTTATTTATTTATTTTTTATTTTTTATTTTGTTGTATATCTTTCACTTAATTTTTATAATATAAATGTCAAAATAATTCTGTGTGCCATATATAATAATTTCTTTATTGGCTTAATGATTTTCTTTATTGCTTCTTATTTTTGTCCTCAATTTATTTTATTACCTTTTATAAAAATAAAAAATGTAATTATTGTATGAAAACAACAAAATTAATTATATTAATTAATTATATAAATTAATTAATTGTAATCAAATATTTATTCAATATTTATATGATTATACAAGAGAAATTTTTTCTATAAAGAGAAAATATATATATATATATACAAATAAAATATATAGTGTTTTAAAATAGAATCAATAAATATCATTTCAAAATATTTGTGTAATAGAAATTGAAAAAATATCTAAATGCACTTTAATAAGGAAGTTCGCTTCTTATTATCACCATCTAAAAATACATACTGCCGATAACAATTACACTTAAAGAAATGAAGTTGTAGATATCAAATCTGTTTAAAAATCTATCAAATGCAATTAATATCTACTTTCTGTTATTTTTTGTACTAAAAAATGTATACTTACGAAAGTTATAATGTACGTGATAAATTCAGGCTCTGCAAATGTCTACTCTGGGATTCCCTGGAAGAAATATAGTATAACCTGTTACATATTGCGTCACATCTTTAACTTGATCGCGTGTATTGTACTAATCTTTATTATTGTTAATAGATAGGTTGCTACCAATGATGACTGTTCTTTACTTTTAAATAAATCAAATTAACTATTCATATGGGTACTTTGCAACAGTTTTTACATCGGTTGCTCATGCATCCACGTCGAAGACTAAACAAAAGAGCGTTTGCTGATCTCAGCTGAAGCTAAGAGCTCTATCGTTCAAGCAGTGTTGTCAAATTGATTAAAACAAAGTTTTTATCAGTTGAATATCTCTTATAGAAATACATTCTAAAAAGAATTAAAATTGAATGAATGTTTTGAGCTCTCTCATGTATAAGCATGCATGTTTCTAAAATCTCTATTTATATGATTTTAAATATTGCATTCTTGTGATTTTATCACAATTGTTTATCTCCAATTAATGCCTTTTGTTGTAAATATTAAAAATATTCATATAATATTTAAAGAACATTGTATGCTTGATTAACAATTTGGTTAAAAACTTATTTCTGAATAAACCATTTCATGTTTATTTCTCTCTCTATATATATATATATATACACATATATATATCAAATATTTTAAATTTACTTTCTGGATGTTCTTTTAAAACTTACAGCGTCTCTTTTCCTTGTAACAATTTTTTTCTTCCTAAAAATTTAGTTTTAAAAATGAAATAGATGGAAAAATCATACTTATTAATTAATCCCAAATAAATTTTAAAAGATTTTTTAATTGTCATTTTTATATTAGTTACAAAAACAACTAATATATGTTTAAAATTGAACGAGCTTATAATAAGTAATAACTTTCCTTAATATTTTGAAAGGAAGAATCAAAAAGAAGTATTAGTACATTCTTTCTTGTCCCATGTGACAAGAACGAATGATTCACGATGATTCATGTTACGTTCTTTTCGTTATATGAGACGATAAGATGAAATATAATCATATACACCATACTTTGATGATCAATGGCATCCCAGAATAATGTTAAAGCTTTTTTTATATGTTTTTATATCCAGATGGCAAGCATACAGACATTATTGTTATCATTTTGATCAAAATATCGTTATAAAAGTGTTATTATCTCATTAAAACGATGATAAATAAATAATTAGCTTGCTACCTGAATATGTTTTAGTATATTTATAAGATATTTTTCAGATATTGAGCATTTTATCATGATTATAAATAGGAAAATAAGAAATTTGCAGCAAAGACATTTGCTAAAATTAAAAAAAAATTTTGAAAAAAAGTCAACTTTGAAAATGTTGAAACAAAATAGTGTAATTGAATTAAACTATGTAAAAGATGTAGAAATATTAGTACGCATATTATATTTTATATATTAATTGTTATGTAATAATTATATAATTTTATTAAAAAAGGATTTAAATTATTAGTTTGTTTTATTCTTAGAAATCTATATTGTCTTTTAAAATATATTAGTTTAATATACGTTAACTCATAAAAATTAATATAATATTAATTATAACAATGTAATATAATATAATGTAATTATAATATAATATTAATAGGTATTTTTAAATCGCAAAAGTTAATACACCAAATAAAATGTTCGACAGAAATACAAAATAATACAATTAATTAATTAAAATGAGAACATTTCTTATATTTCGTCGAAAAATGAAATCAATATATTAGATTAGAATTAAAAGAATTAGGAGCAAGAAAAGAATAAGAATCTTAATAGAGAGGTTACAGATTGTCGCGGCAATAAAAAAAGGACGTTTTAAATCAACATTTCTTGAAATACACGAAACTCATAAATAATTTCTTGTACAATAAATTAATTTTTTGCTTTTACATTGATCAAAAAAGTACTAACAGTAAGAGATGTAAATATATTTTTTGTCGTGTACTTATATACAGCGTATATTTTTGAGATTTAAAAATCGTAAAATTTGCGAAAAACGAAAATAAACAAGTTTTAAGCGGCATAAATATTTTTGTTATAGACTCAGATTTTTTTGCAATGTAAATTTTGTTGCGATATAATTACTGCGTTACACAAATATTATTTACGATTTTATTGTAGAAAATTAACATGAATCTGCGAGTGCAAGTAATTTGTAATCGTGGAAATAACTTCGTGATCGCTTGAGGAGAAGGTGTGGTTTGTACTAATAATTATTTTAATGTATTCCTCGTTAATTAAGACACGTTAAAATGTTACGATACAGGTTAGAAGCATCACGCACTTCAAGTAGTCCTTTAATATCCACATTTGACTTCGCAAAATTATTTATTCTGCTTTTATGTTTATACTCAAGCCGAACAACAAGTCATGGTAACGTCAAAATGACGTTAAAATGACGTTAAAACGAATCGTTATGACATTTTGGAGTTATTTTGACATCACGTTGATACTATAATGACTTGTTGTTCTGCTTGGGCATGTGCGCTCTCAAAGTAATTGAATTTGCTCTTAAAATTGTATTACGACTATTAATTTCACATGACGGCAAGTGAGGTTGTGGCTCGTTATGAAATTACCCGATGTTAATTATTTGTGCTTTACATCAGTAAGACTGTATAGGTCTTGTTGTAAGTTCTTTAGTTAGCTATCGATTTTTTCTCAATAATAATATGAAAACGTCTATATAATTCTTATATTTTTTTAAACTTTAAAGAATTCAAAATAGATAATCTAAGTGTAAATAATTTTAGAAAATACGTCACATTAAAATTCTTGTTTTTTGAGAATCTCAGAGAAACATTTTTCTGTTATAATTATAATATATCAAGATTATTAACATTAATATAATTTTATAAAAGCGTTGTATGCATTTTTTTTTATTAGAATGGAATTTTTATATATAAATATTTAGTTTATTATTCCCAAGCAATATTTTCTTAATAAGACCTTTTAATTCGTCTCAACCTATCATATTTTCTATATTGCATCAGAAATGCATTTCAACTGTTATCCAAAGTGAAACTCTTCATTAATACTGTAGTGAGTAGTCCATCCTTGTCACGTATTAGGCGCTATTTGCCACTTCAAACAAAATCTCAATTTCCCGAAGTCACTGGGTTCTCTCCTCTCGACCGGCCCTGGTCTCGTGGGTCGATAAAGCCTCTCACTCTCTCCCGCTTCCACATCGCGCATCCTCGACGAGAGACGAAGCGGACGAGGAACGGCCGAGCAGGACGGAAAATCGTGTAGTTCTGTCAGTGGCCTCTCGGACACGGTAGCATCGAAAGTGGAGAACGTCTGCTGTAGAACGTTCCTTGTCCCCTTGATGTCCCGAGGCCGCGCGCACGGAGATTCGCGCGATAATTAATTAATCGCGAGCGCGGATCTCGCGGGCGTTGATGTGCGCGAAAAACGTATACGATAGTGTTAACACATTCTGTTCCAAGCCACGCTCGACGTATCGTGACGTTCGTGTGCGTTCACGTGTCGACATCGCAAGACGTCGAACTGAACGTTCTTGATTAGTTCTTTTTCTTACAAACACCTCTTCCCGTGCGAGAAAGACGCAGTTGTTCTCGTTTCAAGTTACCGCGGATCTGTGGATGTACCATTCCTCCCAGCATCTCCGAAAGACATCCGGGAAAACGTTCGGCATGTAACATTCTCAGCATGACATAACGGATCACGAGGTGTCATCTTTGCCAAAGTCAATGAGAGCATGGCGAGCAATATATATCTTTTATTTATTAATGTTAGTCAATTTTTTGTCTCTTAGATTTTTATCTTCTTCAACACTAAACACTCGATGACAGTCAATATTAGCTTGATGTGTGCAGGAGCTCTTTGAAAAAATATTTTTAAGGGATAAAGGGGATGTGAACATCGACAATGCGCGTTGACGCGATTCTTCTTACAGCTTATTCTACAGCTTATTTTATACAAGAGTATCTCAAGTTTCCAACATTTTCTTTCATCTCTTTGATCAAATATATAATCATCTTTTCTTTTACACTTCTTAGGCACAGGCGCGTTAATATTGATGTTATTTCACAAAGAAAATAAATATCGGAATATTCATATATATATATATATAGTTTTAGAATTATAAGCAATTAATATAAAAATCTTTTATACCGAGAAATGGAGAACAAAGAAACAAATAAACGAAGAAACCTTATATTCAAGTTAATCTAGATAGGTCAAACTTAATTAGTAAAAATTTAATTAAATGTTACCAATTCCAGAACTTAAAATTGCTTTGATAGTTTAAGATATCCAGTAATTGATTAAAATATTGAAAAATATATAATATTAAATAGAATCTTTTTTTAAAATTATTTCTTTTTTATAATAGAAGAGCATAATATCTAGAAAAAATATTAATTGGTTCTTAATGCTTGTGTCTCAGAAAGCTGATTGTCCAACATTTTTGTTAAACAAATTTTGTTGCAATTTAAGAGCTCATAAATAAAAGCAGACGCTAAAAGAAACCCACTACAAATAATTTCAAAAGGTTTTCATACTTTGTGGCCGACGACTTGAGCGAGTCATTAAAAACGAATTAATTGAGAACATATCGCGTGACACTTCTGAATGCAACTGCTGGCAAATTGCAATTTTATACAGCTTCATCGTTTTTTCGTTTATGCCTTTAACACATGCCAGTGAACTATTTAATCATTATTTTTGCTCCACAGAAAAATAATAATGGGCAGCAGGTCACGATGCCGCGAGCTGCCAAGGCTATAGATCCGTATTATGCTTACATATCTATTGTTAGATACGGGTAATTCTTATGACATTGACTGTGATTTTCACAGCAACCGAACAAAGCTCAATTTCGAACGGCTGCATCTGGCGTTAAACGTGAGATACAAATGCGGGCTGTAAAGTCGAATGGAACATATGCTCGCGAAAATGAAGCCATTCGTCTTTTCTTTAACCCTTGAGAATTAATATGAAATATTAATGATATATTACATGAAATATCTATGAAATTTAATTTAATCTTTTGTAAAATATAAAACTAAAGTATATTTTCATAATATTTAGTTTATTACAGCAAAAGTTACGAAATACGTTGAATATTAATGTAGAAGTAATGTGATAAACTCTTTTTTACACGCATGGTTTTTAATTTATAACATATCGCTCTTTTACTTCAAAAGTGACACAACTCAAAAAAGCATGATTTTCAAGTTGTTATAATGAATGA